CTGTTCACATAGCAGAAGCTCTGTAATTTAATCCCCACCACAAAAGACAATCACTGTGATTAAATCAGGTGCTGGTTTAACAAGATACACCTAATAAGCAGTTCTGCTCATCAGACCTTGCACAAACAACATTCTTTCACTATGCGGCATGTAAAATCATTCAACTTTTGCATTCTGTTGCAGACTCTGGCACTAGGCACAACGTGCTCTCTCTTAACTGATTTTTCAATGGAAAGCAGGAGAGACACCACTCTGTCCCACAGACTGTGATGTCAGGGACACTAGCCTATATGAAAGCAGGAAAGGAGAACATTTTTTTCCACTGTTTATACTGCAGGTTTTCGGTATACCACGTGACTAAGGACATGTCTCTTAAAGCATGTAAAAAGAATGTGCCTCAGAGAACATAACTTTTTCCAAACTTGACTGGGTCCCCCAATTTTTAAATTGCGTCCCCCCTTATCTTCTTTTGCAGACTGACACATGAAAATACTCGCTTGTTCACACGTGCCTGCACATGCATGCACATACACAACACACAGTTTAAAGAAAGCAAGAGAAAACCAGACAGGTCTTATAAAACACAAATGAAAATAAGACAAAGCTTTAAAAAGAGAGAAACACTTTAAGAAAGAAGCCTGGAGAAAAGGAAAACAACATATTTCTTAGCTCTGTAAAAAGGGAAATACTTCAAAAGAGTGAAAAAAACACCCAGCAGAATTGCAGTGCATGAGCAGATTTATGAACTAACATTTCAAGCCCAAAGGGAAAACATGTGGATCAGCTTCTATCTCTATCCAGTGTCTTGGCTGTTTCTGGAATTTTGTCACCGTTTCTCATATTTTTTTTTTCTTTTTATATTTTTCTCTCTCTCTCCTTCTCAGGAGGTGAATAGAAGGTAGCCCTCCATAAATGACTATTATATCTGCTCGGCTGAGGAATGAATGTATAAGAATATTTCAAGAATCCTAAGCAGGGGTGAAGCAGCATTCGGCATGGGCAGGGCTGTCACTTGTAGGAGAGAACATGAGTGAGCCTGGCCACAGGAACGATGGAGCTAATGTCCTCAAATCATCGCAGTTTATGTTTTCCATGTAGGGGCAGCTCACACTTAAAAAACACACCAACAGAGTCATGAAGACACAATAAGAGTTTCTAGTCTGTTGCTTATGTACAGAACTTTTGATGCATTTCTTCCACCCATTTCAGGCTTTGGGACAGGAGAAGCAGACCTCTCCCTGAGTTTTGTTTTTCTCACATCCTGCCTTTTGCAGCCAATCTCACAGCTGCAGCCACCCCTTACTAGATACTCATACAGTAGCTCACAGTAGAAAGAAATTATGTATAAAGATATAGCAGAGATCCCTCAAATTTACATTAGAAAAGAGAAACCAGAACAAAGCTGCATATATATGAATAGATATATAGAGATGGTATATGTATGCTGATATATGTATGTATATATATTACAGGTCTAATTATAAGTATAATCTAATTATAATTATACATCTAATTATATCTAATTATAATTAGATATATAATATATATTATTAACCTTCTTGTTTCCCCATCTTGCCTTTTTAAAGCTTTGTGGCTATTTTTGTAGGCATTTGTCTTCTCACATAAAGGTAATATTTATGATTCGCCATCAAATAATTACACATAAAAAGTTACAGGTTTTCATCCATCAATACATAGTCTAACTTTTAGCCTGATCACTAGGACCACATCTAGGTGGCCACTCATCAAGGAGAAGCACATACATCCACAGAAAACGAGATCCTCACCTCATTTGCATGCAGTCTCCAACTTTCAGAGATCATTTACACTCACATGAGATCTCCTCTTATTCCTTCCTCCAATTCCAAAACTCCCTCCTCTGGCCCAATTATCAGAACATCTGTCCTGCATGAGATAATCGTAATGCTGATGCTGATAATAATGGAGATGACGGTGGTGGTAATGACGGCAATGATGAGAACCCACAACTACTGAGAGTTACGATTTGGCAAGCAGTAAGCTAAGCATTTTTCATGGATTATCTTATTCGATCTTTACAACTTCATGAAGACGTATCCCCATTTAACAAGTGAGGAAACTGAAGCACAGAAGTGTTAGGCAAATATTCTACCCAAGGCCACATGCTAGTAAGTGACAGAACCTGAGCTTGAACCCAGATAACTGAGCTCCAGAATTTGTGCTATTAACCCCTACACCCTCCTGTTTCCCAAGATGTCCGTGCAGGGTGCCCAAGCCAGGCACAGCGGGGACGGGGTTACAAGTGCCTAAGTGCGCCTATGTATTCGGCTGACTACATTTGGTCAAATTTAGAGCCAATTGCTACACAATTGATTGGGCTTTGGAGTGATCCAAAAAATGTAAGGAGCCAAAACAAGCAAACTGTTTCACAGTCTGGCTATTCTCTTCACACAGACAAAGCCAAGAACAAGAACAGCTCCACAACAATGCGGAGAACACAGGCACCTCCTGGGTGT